AACACGTCGCAATCTGGTGTCACTTTTGGGGGTTATATTTATTGTATGCAATGGTGATTGCATATGTACATAGATTCAATACTTTGTGCCGGCACGTCCCAATCTAAAACCATTTGGTATCTTCATATTAATTTAAAATATAATAAATAAATAGTATCAAATTACATGTAACAATAATTTAGGATGTCATTTACTTTACCAGATAAATATGATTAAGGTAAGAGAAATAAGAGAGACTGCGAATCTTACCCTTTAAAACGAGGAAGAAATTTCTTACCTAGTTAGTGCTTATTGGGTAAGTAAGTAAGTATAGCAATGACCGAGGATCTTGTCCAACAAATGAGAGAAAAGACTCATGTCYAGGGGTGCTCATGRGTTGAGTTGATCGRGTTGAAAACATTTGAACAACTCAACTCAACTCAATGGTTGCCATCTGAAAAATCTTAACTCTAACCCAACCCAAACCAAAGTGCAACACAACCCAACCCAACCCAACCCAAACCGTATGGGTTGGTCAGGTTGATACTTTGGTACATTAAAATATTCTTCTAACCTTGAATATATTATTTTTCTACTTATAATTTATTTTTCAKCATCAACCATTTGATACAACTTATCAATACTTTTTAAATCTTACGTATATTATATTCAATTAATTTTCTTAATTTACATATGTATGTTCACAGTTACTAAACACATATACGAATGAGTTATATAGAGATGAATAATAAATTAAAAATATGTGTATATGAATAAGGTACGTGATAGTGTAATTGTCTAATATATATATTAATAGAAACTCAACAATAATATTAAATCCAAGAAATACAAGGATATTGAATTCATCGGGTTGAGTTGAGTTCAAACAATAGTAACCAGTTTCAACCTAATACCTATAGTTTGAAACTTTTACAACTCGATTAGACATCGGGTTGCTTCAAATTGAGTTATTTCGTGTCGGGTTGATCGGGTTAGTCCGGTTTTTGAGCATCCCTACTCATACCTGATTAGTGCTTACCATGTAAGAGATATGACAATAACTGAGAATCTTACCTGATAAATGAAACCTAAAGAAGAAAACCCATACCAGGTGAGCACTTATCAGGTAAGAAACACCACCAACGATATATTTTGATGGTCGAAAATATTATCTGATAGAGCAAGGGAAATGAACTTTGTCTATAAACATTTACCACAGTAAACGTTCGGTAAACGATTTTTTGACAATGTAAAAGTTCAAAATCTTTCGGGAAGCGAATCCGAATTTAGCTCTAAAATAATTAAAATCCTTTTAAATTAAGAAAAATATAAATTAAAATAATAAATCATTTAAATAAATAAATGATATTTAATGTTTGCCATTGGATTTGAATGCATACATAACRGAGAATGAACCCAGTTGGGGGGCTACGTTTTTATGAAGACATGTGCTTGTGTATTATATCAATTATTATATTTCTTTTTTAAATTTCAATATTTTTATTTCACCAAATAAAATTTAAATATTGATTTTACCAAACACTAAAAGTTACGAAACACGTATTTTTAAACAAACATCACATTTTTGACACTTGGAGAATACAGTACAACGAAGGGGTTGTTTGTTTACTTACTAATAGTTCYATTAAGAAGCAAACTCTGAATCATTAAGAGGTGAATCTAGTTTGACAAAAAAAGTCTGTCTCTTAATGGTTCAAAAATCCTCTGAATGATTTTGTATCTTAGGTATCTCTTAACCATTCAGCGCCCTAATTTCATTGTAAACAGTTACCAAACAATTATATTTCATTTTAAACTATATCATGGGAGCTTTTTAATCATTATGCACCAAATTATTCAGCAACTGCCAAACAGCTCAAAAAAATTGTAGAGATGTCGTAATTGAGGTTTTGAATAAAACGACCCACCGGTTATCTCAAGGAACCTGAAACAATTAGAAAAATCCAATGGTTTTGCAGTAATTTTTGAATATAGTTTTTTAAGTATTAATTATACATTCTTTCAAAAAAAAAGTTTTAATTATTTATTATTTTTATGACGTCATAAATCCTACACCTGGCACAGAAGCTGTACGTTACCGACACCTCTAGAGGGGAAATAGGCATGAAGCACCTCATTCTATCATACACTCCCTATCACACTAACCTACGCCTCTCCAGTTCATACTCCAATCACGCTGACCTACGCCTCTCGGTTCTTCTTGGACTGTTTACATACAATCAACACGCCAAAACGAAACCCATATAAAAGCCCAATCTCCCATCAAACATCATCATCATCATCATCATATAACACTTTCTCTCCAGATCTTTCTCTCTCGCCAATTGGACCCTGGAGTAAGTTGAATCATCCCCTTTTCATTTGACCTCGATCTGTTTGATTTTGACTTGTTAATCTCTATCAAGATCCACAGCTGCATTCACTTCATTTTTAACCCTAATCTTACCAATGTCAATCTCATCTTTACTTTCGTTTTATTGATTGATGATTGATTTTTGGATTAAGCTTGATTAGGGTCCATCTTCATCATCTTTGATTTATTGATTGTTTTTGTTATGTTCTGTGTGATTGTGATTCATTTATTTGGTTTTGATCTTAAATGAGACGCCGTTCGCCGGTGATTCCATCGACGGATCATATGGAAAAAGGGACTAATAAATCCCAGCATTCTCGTCTTTGTGTATTAGGGTTTCTTTGTGTCTTCTTTTGGGGGTTTTTGTTGTACTTCCATTTTGTTGTGATTGGTGGTAGAACATTTCATGATTATAGTGTACAAGTTAATCCCASTTCATCTGAGTCTAGGGTTCCTAAAACCATCCCTGTTATTCAGCCAATTTCTACTATTCATCAAACTCCTGTAGTTGATATTCATAATGAATACAATCATGATGAAGCTGTGAATAGGGATTTGGTTGTAGCTGAACCGAAAAAAGCCCAACCAGATCCTGTAATGGAACAGAAACCTGATGATCTTGTAAACCCTCAACCAGATCCTGTAGTTGAACAGGAAGCTCTTAATCTGGATAAGCCGAAAGATTTCCCGTTCATGAAGGCGTTAAGAACCGTAGACAACACGAGTGATCCGTGTGGAGGGAGATATGTTTATGTTCATGATCTTCCTTCGAGGTTTAATGAGGATATGCTTAAGCAGTGTAGGAGTCTTAGCAAATGGACCAATATGTGTAAGTTCACYACAAATGCTGGACTTGGACCTCCATTGGAGAATACCGAAGGGGTATTTTCGGAAAAAGGATGGTATGCCACAAATCAGTTTGCAGTTGATGTTATCTTTAGTAACCGGATGAAACAGTATGAGTGCTTGACGAAAGATTCGTCACTTGCTGCAGCGATCTTTGTGCCATTCTACGCAGGGTTCGACATCGCAAGATATCTTTGGGGATATAATATCTCCATGAGGGATGCTGCGTCTCTTGATCTCGTTGATTGGTTACAAAAGAGACCCGAGTGGAGCATAATGGGCGGAAAAGATCATTTTCTTGTTGCGGGCAGGATCACGTGGGATTTCAGGAGATTAAGTGAAGAAGAAACGGATTGGGGTAATAAGCTTTTGTTTTTACCGGCTGCTAAAAACATGTCGATGCTCGTTGTAGAATCGAGTCCATGGAATGCAAACGATTTCGCTATTCCATATCCAACTTATTTTCATCCATCAAAAGATGCTGAAGTGTTTGCATGGCAGGATCGGATGATGAATTTAGATAGGAAATGGCTGTTTTGTTTTGCCGGGGCACCTCGCCCGGATAATCCTAAGTCAATTAGGGGTCAGATCATCGATGAATGCAAGAATTCAGAAGTTGGAAAGCTTTTGGAATGTGATCTTGGCGAGAGCAAGTGTCATTCCCCGAGTAGTATAATGCAGATGTTCCAAAGCTCAACTTTTTGTCTACAACCTCAAGGTGATTCTTACACGAGAAGATCGGCTTTTGACTCGATGTTGGCTGGYTGTATTCCGGTTTTCTTTCACCCCGGTTCTGCATATACACAATACACTTGGCATCTTCCAAAAAACTACACAAAGTATTCGGTTTTCATCCCRGAGGATGACCTTCGCAAGAAGCATATCAGTCTTGAGGAACGGCTCGGCCAAATCCCTCCTGATCAGGTTAAGATGATGAGAAAGGAGGTCATAAATCTGATCCCGAGGCTAATATACGCAGACCCACGTTCGAAATTAGAGTCTCATAAAGACGCTTTCGATGTCTCTGTTCAAGCGATTATCAACAAGGTGACAAGATTGAGAAAAGATGTTATGGAAGGGCGAACGAACGATGRTTTCATCGAGGAACTTAGTTGGAAGTATGCTTTATTAGATGAAGGTGAGTATGTGGGTGTTCATGAATGGGATCCCTTTTTCTCGAAACCGAAACCGAACGATGGGAAGATCGATTCAGACGGTTCTTCGGCTGAAGCAGCMAAGAATTCCTGGAAAAACGAGCAAAGAGACCATTCTTGACCAACTCTGTTCAGCAGCATAAAGATGTAATGAAGGTATGTTTGCTTACTTAGTTTTGTGGTCTAAATTCAGGTTTAAAAGAAAGGAAAKGAAGCAGAGAAACCATAATTTTGCCACTAAATATAATTATATAGCTGTTGATTTTGTCAGATTTCTGATTCTTTGTAATGATATTTATATACACATGAGGTCTTATTTCCCTTTTGTTAGCAATTAATCCAAGTGAAAAAGTTTACATTTTTAGTGTTGTTTTTGAGGTGTCTCATCTTTTCTTAAGCTACTATAGCTCTATTTACATGTTAGGGGCTGTCTATCCCTTTCCATTAAGCTCTGTATGAGTTAAGTCGGACCCTGAATGGGTTAAGTTGTCCGTTTGAGGGATGGGAGGCAAAGAGAGAAAGAAACCGGTTTTAGGGAGGCAAAGAGAGAGGGTCGAATTATGTCTSTGGTATTTTTGGTGTTATTTTGTTTGAGGTGGCTTAATGGGGACAAGTGAGGGGTCCTGGCTTATTCTATATAGCCATTTTGGCTTAATGTCTTTACGATTAAGCCGTAAAGGAAACACTCTTGTATGTATGAGCGGATAAGCCGCCTGGATCATTAAGCTGAAAGTAAAAGCCCCTTGGATTSTCATTTAGATCACAGTAAGAAGTTTCATCTTCCAAACAGTTGAAAGTCAGGCTGTAACTGAAACATTTTTGTAGAGCAAAATGCATCAAAATATAATCAAGTTTGGTTTAGTTATTTAYTGTAACGAGTTTTTCAAATCGACTCTTTGACCTTGAGAACGCTGGTTTWAAGRATGAGTGATTGTCCTTCCCCTATTGGATATACTGCCTACTAATTATTTTCGAAAGGGTTACAATGAAACGGATGATAGGAGCATCTCCAACAAATTCTCTTATCGTTCATCGAGGATAAGAGATCCAAAAGTGAAATTTTCTAAAAAGAATTACATTGAACTRCAACARATTCTGTATTTTAGAAATTTCAACTGTTTTAGAGAATCTGTTGGCGATCCTCTAAACTTGACATCTATGTCATTAAATGTTACGGGTTATGTGTCATGTTTTGTTTACAAGTAGTTGTTAAGGGGGGTGGATGTAAATTAGGGTGATGAATCATGTGGTCCATGGTTTTGTTTCCTTCGAAAACTTTGGAAGAAAAGTGAAGCTTGCAATGGCCCCAAGTTTCATTTGGTTTGGCAGGTTTTTGACCATTCAAAAGAGAGTTTCATTTCCATGCTGTAAACGTGTTGTCGCAATTAGCATCATTTTTTTKACCTTTTTATTTATAAAATATGTAATATATATAAGGGGTCTTCTTTAATTCATGACATCTTTAACGATGTTATTGTGTTTGTTTTTTAAGAGGTGTTGAAGTCTGATTTTTGATTTATAAGAGGTGGTTTTGAAGTCTGAAATTTGGATCAGTAACATAGTTTGTTTTTACGTCTGAAGTCCGAAATCTAAATTGTCAAACTAGYGTAAAAATATCTGAAGTCTGATAAATGGTTTTTTTTTTATAAAAGTATAAAAGATGAATACTTTTTGCTAACAGATCTCTTCCATCCTCTAAAATATGAACCGTGTGATAAGAGGTTGGATTAGGATTAAAAGGTATGTATTAAGGGATATATTTATCACTTAAAATTTCAGAGGACGTTTAAAGCTTTTAAGCTCTTATATTAAAAATCAAACAAACGTTCTTAATACCCAAACGTCTGGATGAATTATACTTCAGAGGTATTAAGAGATAATTTTGAAAAAACAAACAGATACTCGGTGTATCATGCATTATTTTATATGATCTTTTTTTTTCCTTCATGTATGATTAGACTTTAATGTAGTGATTAACATATATTTGTTTCATATGTACTCGGCTTAYAATGTGAAACATTTTCTCGTGCTTATGAAACAAAAAATACACATAAAATTTTTTTACATTGTGAACCGAGTACATATGAAACAAATATGTGTTAATCAATATATTAAATATTAAATACTAAATTTAGATGAAAAAATTCATGTGAAACAAAATTTCAAGGTAGAAGTTGTCACAGATCTTACAAGTTTTGGAGTTTTCAGATGATTAAGCCTCGTATTTGTATATGATAAATACTTGCATATACTCTCTATTTTTAGTAAGGTTTGAAACCAATTTATTGTATCACTTGATCAATGACCATTTAAATTTTTCTTAAACCTAATGTATTGATCTTGTTCATGGGTTCACGGAAAATGTGTAAAAGCTCTATTTGCCTCTGCCCCCGTGTCTGTCTTGTGTTCAACGAAGGAAAGCACCCTTCCTTCTTCAGCTTGAAAGACATCTCAGGAAAGAGCTACTTCAACTGAAGAAATTTCTTTAGTAGCGAGAACCCTTTCTACTCGAGAATACCTAGGCACCCAGAGACGAGGAAGGGCGACGAAATGCTTAAGGTCAGGAAGTGAAGCGATCGCCCGTTACCCAGCAGATAAAGTACATTTTTTGGACCAAGAAGTTGACATGACTTTGTTGTGAACTTATGATTAAATTTATGACCTTCTAACATATTAAGGAAAAATGGTTCCATACTGGTTATAAAAAATTATGAATTTCAGTAAAATATTATTTAAAGTTAAGGAGAACTTCATTTCAGAATTCATAAAATTGTGATAGCTTTGAGAATCGGCATCATGTGCTATTTCATATAATATGTTTTCATTTATGACTTGGATTTAGTGTATTGATTAATATTATATTTGTTTCACAAYGTGATTTGTGAAACCAAAAATAAAACAAAAAAGTTTCRCATTGTGAACCTAATACATATGRAACAAACACATTGGGAAACGAATATATGTTAATCAATRTATTAAATTCTAGTCTTAGATGAAAAATTCATGCAAAATTTTGATGATGATAATTCTTACAGTTATCACTAGGGGTGCTCAAAAACCCGATCAACCCAACACGAAATAACTTAATCCGAATCAACCTGATGTTTAATCAAAAAAAATTTCAAACAGTAGATATTGAGTTACTATTATTTGAACCAAATCCGATGAACCCGATATCTTTTTATTTCTTCTATTTAATATGATTGTTGAATTTCTTTTTAATATATACATTAGACAACTACACTATGACGTACGCTCTTCACATACACATATCTTCAATCTATTCACATATCTATATAACTTACTCGTATATATGTTCAGTAACTGTGAACATATATATGTAAATTGAGAAAATTAACTGAATGTGATATACGTGAGAAGTATGTATAAGTTGTATCAAATGGTTGATGACGAAAAAGAAATTATGAGTAARGAAATAATATATTCAAGGTTAGAAGAATATTTTAATTTACCAAAGTATCAACCAGACCAACCCATACGGTTTGGATTGGGTTGGGTTGCACTTTGGGTTAGGTTGGGTTGAGTTAAAAATTTTCAAACCGCAAGCATTAGGTTGGGTTACTCAAATGTCTTCAACCCGATCAATTCAACACATAAACACCCATAATTATCACAACATATATTAATTATTAAATAATTAAGCCTCTACAATGATAAAAATATTATATAAAGTAAACCACTATGGATCGATAAATTTTGAATTCAATAAGCCCAATACTCATGGGCCAACTTTAGCCTTACACCGCTCTAATGGGCCTAGAAGCGTGTAGTGCACGTGCTAGCCAAAACATTTCTCATCTTTTATAAGATAATCATCATATATTATCTTGTATACTAAAATAGAGAAACGAAGAGAGAATAAGGATGATGACCCGGTGAGGAACCCGACTCATCCGACCCGAATTAGGACGGGGATTCCCGCTAAAATGGGTCTCAGGGCTGGGACTGGGGCCGGGGATCCCCAATAGATGCAAACAGGGTCCGGGATTCCCAGTAAACTCAAACTAATGAATATTCTTCTTGGGGTTTGACTAGGGACGAGATGTTAATCCCGTATCCGCCGAGGACCGGGTCCGGGGGATGTTACTAAAACCCGGGGTCAGGGCCGTGGATTACAAAACCCGTCACATCCCCGCCCCGTTGTCATGCCTAAGTGAGAAAGTTGAAATCTCCAAATTTGGATAAATCTCTAAAACTTCCTATTTAAGAGAAACAAATGATGTTTAATTTTTCATCAATAGGAGACATTGAATTTATTGAATACTTTTAATAATACAATTAACGATAGAATTGCTAAAATACAGTAAATGTACGAGTTGGATGTAATTTTTTTAGAGATTTTAACTTTTGATATTTTATCRTAGAAAAATTATAGTATAACTGTTGGAGATTTTCTAAGGGGTCGTTTATCCAAACGTTTATGGGTAAGCGCTTACCGACAAGAGTTGACACTCTAACTTACTTTACCACTCATCCCCTACTCTTTTGCACCGCCACCATTACTACCGCTGCTTGTGCGTGAGTCACCACCACCACTCGCAACATCAACACGGTAACCGGTTAATATTTCAACCGGTTACCTAAATACTTAAATGTTTAAAACTTTACATCTTAACTATTAAGATGAAWGTTTTGAAAATACATTATCCAAAATAAAAATCAAGTTAAAATAKGTTATTTTTTCGTGTAATTTACCATTATGTAAAATACAAGYATTATTTATTTGAAACCAAATATTTGAATGAAAAGTTTGGAGCCTATTAAGTAATAAATGTAGAATAATAATAAATGATGGAGCCCTATGCAAATAAATAACTCTACTAGTCACCTCACCAACATTCCCAGACAAACATCCTTAAATTCCTAAAGGTTGGTTTTTTTGAAAAGTTAATTCAAGCAATGTTTGGATAAATTGTATGAAAAAGTAAAGTATTTTTAATTTGATTCGTATTTTGGTTAACGTATTTTTAAAATTTATATTTTGGTATCTAAGATGTAAAATTTTAAACATTTAAATACTCGGATAACCGGTTGAAAACTAATTTTAGATTAAAAAAAGACTAATTTAAAAATATAAAAAAAAATCAATGTCACTGACCACATCAGCGAATAATACTGAGTTGGATACTACGTCACTCGACACATCAACATGATAACCGGTTAATGCTTCAACCAGTTACCTGGGTACTTAAATATTTAAAACTTTWTATGTTAGGTACYAAAATAGAAGTTTTGTAAATACGTTACCCAAAATAGAAATCAAGTTAAATTATGTTATTTTTTCWTGTAATTTGCCCATAATGTTTTATTAAAGTCTAAGAGTTTCGTTTTTTCAATTTTTATGCCTTTTAAAGTTATTTGACGTTATCATTTGTATTATTAGTTAGTTTTTACCAAACATWACTAACTTATCACCCAACTACCACKTTTTTAGTTACCAGTTAGGGGCTGTTTACCAAACGCTTACTCGGGTAACTGAACACCAAGTCAAATTACCTTACCGGATGAATATGGTAAARATCAATAATCTTAYCCGGTAARAACGAGACAAGGACCAAGAGTCTTACGCGRTAAGTGAGGGCGACGACTCTTACCATGGTAAGCACATGAATATGGTAAAGACCAATAATCTTACCCAGTAAGAGCGAGACAAGAACCAAAAGTCTTACCTAGTAAGTGAGGCAACGACTCTTATCACGGTAAGCGCTTACCAGGTATATTGTTGCATATAAAACCGTTTTGGTGGACTAAAATCTTACTCGGTAAGTAAATGATAATGTTAAATTTTACCGGTAAGCGCTTACCGGGTAAATGTTTGGTAAACAGCCCCTTAGTTTTTCAAGAAACAAGTCAGCAACTAATTTATCAGATAGTTTGTTAAACATAGTCCAAAACTGAACAATAGAGTGTTTTGTTAATTATGTTTTCGGTATATAATCACAACCCGAAAAATGAAAATGAAAAACGATCAAAATACCCTCGAATTCCATTTGGTCCATGGGGTTATAAAGATCGATAAATAACCAAAATACTCTCGAATTCCATTTGGTCCACGAGGTTATAAAGACGATAAATAATCAAAATACTCTTAAATTCCATTGGTCCAGGGGGTTAATAAACCCTACCAAAAAACATCTCGTGAAAACCAAGCTCCCAGAAGCCCAAAATCCTCTCTCTCTCTCTCTCTCTCTCTCTCTATATATATATATATATATATACAAACATATATATATATATGTATGTATATATGCAAAACAAAAGATCCTCGTGATGAAGAGCCCTTAATTTTCACGAGTTTTATCTTTTCTCTCAGACCCTTCACAACTCCATTTTCTACACATAAATACTACACCTTTCATGCACCATTTCTCTTCACTCACTTCCAATGGCCTTCAAAACCTTCCTTTTCTATGCCATTTTTGTATGCTTATTCTCATCCCAAACTGCTCTCAGAACCTACATCATTCAACTCCATCCCCAACGGACGTCCGCATCTCTCTTTCCTTCCAAGCTTCATTGGCACCTCTCGTTCCTCGAAAAGACCGTAAACGATCCTTCTTCACGTCTGCTCTACTCTTATCGGTCAGCCATGGAGGGTTTCGCAGCTCAGCTTTCGGATTCCGAGATTGAGTTTATGAGAAACATGCAAGATGTTGTAGCTGTAAGACCGGACCGGGTGGTTCAACTCCACACCACTTATTCCTATAAGTTCATGGGGTTGAGTCCGACAACGGAGGGTGGTGCATGGGTTAAGTCCGGGTTCGGCCATGGCTCGATTGTTGGAGTGCTTGACACGGGGGTGTGGCCAGAGAGTCCGAGCTTCGACGATACGGGAATGCCGCCGGTTCCTCGGAAATGGAGAGGGGTTTGTCAATTAGGGGAAGGTTTTAATGGTTCGAATTGTAATAGAAAGCTCATAGGTGCGAGGTTTTTCAGTAAAGGTCATCGGGTTGCTTCTTTGTTTCCGTCTTCTAGTGAGTTGTCGGAGTATGTGTCGGCTCGGGACTCCCATGGACATGGGACCCACACGGCGTCGACGGCTGCGGGGTCCGCCGTCCCAATGGCAAGTGTGCTCGGGAATGGGGGTGGGGAGGCGAGAGGTATGGCGCCGGGTGCACATATTGCGGTTTACAAAGTGTGTTGGTTCAGCGGGTGCTACAGCTCGGATATTTTGGCGGCGATGGATGCGGCAATCAGAGACGGGGTCGACGTCCTTTCATTGTCGCTTGGCGGTTTCCCCATTCCGCTTTATGATGACAGCATCGCCATTGGTAGTTTCCGAGCTATGGAGCATAAGATATCGGTCATATGTGCTGCAGGGAATAACGGGCCCATTGCAAACTCGGTTGCGAATGTGGCTCCGTGGGTCACGACCGTTGGCGCTAGCACCCTCGACAGGACATTTCCAGCCGTAGTACATATCGGCAACGGAAAGATTCTTAACGGAGAATCTATGTACCCTGGGAAACTACACCCAGGTGCCGAAAAGCAGCTAGAAGTAGTTTACCTAGCCGGAGGAGACCGAGGAAGCAATTACTGCTTCAAGGGTTCGCTTCCGAGAGATAAAGTAGGTGGCAAGATGGTGGTTTGTGACAGAGGTGTCAACGGGCGGGCGGAGAAAGGAGTGGTTGTCAAAGAGTCCGGTGGTGCCGCCATGATTCTGGCAAACACGGAGATAAACATGGAAGAAGACTCCATTGATGCTCATGTTTTACCAGCAACATTGATCGGTTACTCGGAATCGGTTCAATTGAAGAGTTACATCAATTCGACAAGAAGACCTACGGCTAGAATCATATTTGGTGGAACTGTAATCGGGAAAGCTAGAGCACCTTCGGTAGCTCAGTTTTCATCACGAGGACCAAGTTTCATGGACCCCGTGATACCTAAACCGGATATCATAGCTCCAGGCGTCAACATCGTAGCGGCTTGGCCGCAGAACCTGGGACCCTCGGGCCTTCCGGAAGATTCTAGAAGAGTAAATTTCACAGTCATGTCTGGGACGTCTATGTCATGCCCACACGTTGGCGGGCTAGCTGCATTGATACGGTCGGCACATCCAAAATGGAGTCCGGCCGCCATCAAATCCGCCCTTATGACCACCGCTGATACTACAGATCATTATGGTAAACCGATAATGGACGGAAACAAACCTGCTGGGATTCTTGCAATGGGAGCTGGACATGTGAATCCCGAAAGAGCTATAGAACCTGGATTGATATACGACATTAGTCCAAATGAATACATCATTCATTTATGCACCATCGGGTATACAGATTCACAGCTATTCACAATTACTCACCGGAATGTAAGCTGTCATGATATCATGAAGAAGAACCGCGGTTTTAGCCTCAATTACCCTTCCATTTCCGTGATTTTTAGATCCGGAATTAGCAGTAAGATAATCAAAAGGCGTGTGATGAACGTGGGGGAACCTAATTCCGTTTACACGGTTAAAGTGGTCGCACCAGAAGGAGTCAAAGTACGTGTGAGACCAAGGAGGCTAACATTTTCGCGTTTAAATCAGAGTCTGAGTTACCGAGTTTGGTTCATCTTGAGAAAGCCAACAGGGTCCAGAAGAGCGGGATTTGGTCAAGGGCAATTGACATGGATGAACTCGAAGGATAACCGAATCAAGATTCGAAGTCCTATTCTCGTCACAAAGTCATCTAACAAGTAAGGGTAGCAATAACAAGAATTATCTGTAGCAAAAAAGGTTACTTGTGTTTCAAAGTATTGTTGGATTCTTTATCATTTGATAGAGATCGAAAATTCAATATAAAGAATGTATTGTTTCATGTCATTCCTGTTCTTTTTTTGTATACGTGGGAGTCCAGGTCCAGGCCAGCTAGTGCGCACCTCGACTAATCCCATGGGCCCCTGAAGATAACAGTCAAGAAAATCCCTGGTAACCTGAAGAGGCTCAAAATGGCGATCTATGGAGAGGAGCCCCAAGCACTAGCCTTTTTTTTTCTCATTCCTGTAAGAATCTTACAGATAAGGTAAACGGCAATATATTCAAAGGCCCGTGAACCCCAACAAATCAGATTCAAAACCGCACGTGCACGGACCTCGACTAGTTGTAGCCTTTATTTGCCAGTTGAACAGGCCCTCAAGGTTCGTCATTACTGTTCTCTTTTTTCTTTTGGGTAACCATGGGCATCCAGGCCAGCTTATGCACACCGACTAATCCCCTGGGCGACCTCAAATGACCTAGAGTCATCACAATGAACCTCCATGGCCACAAGGGCTTTGGTAGCACTCGGATGCGAACCCCAAGAAGATGAGATTTCTACTACATCCTCTGAGCCTTAACCAATGTGCTACAACCCGAGTGGTTGTTATTCCTGTTCTCAGAGATAACGTAAATGGCAATATATTCAAAGGCCACGAACCCGAACAAATCAAACTCTTAAGAATTCTACAAGTGATTCCTTCATCTTATATAAAGAATTAAAAGTTTATGAATGGGAGGGTAGAGGGCCAGTACATAGTACTCACATTAGGTCTACCTATGCCACTAAATGATACCTCAAAATGTCACATTTTAATTGACCTAATTATGGAAAAGAAAGATGCAATGGCAAGGTTGACCTAATTACAGAAAAGAAAGATTGGGGGGGGGGGGGAGGGGGTATGTACATTGCCTTTAACTTTTGACGAATTGCAAGCCGTTCACATTGGCATAGCGCTCCATGAACCTCATGAACCGGTCCCAGTCTCGCGGAGTCCGCATTACATACTTTGCTTCTATCCCTGCAGGTCTTCCATTAACAAATTTGGCACTCACATCAACCGATTGGAGTGTCCCTTCATCATCAATCATGAAAAACCCGGTGATATCTCCAACTTCACCAGATGAGTCAAAAACAGATGGTTCGTCAAACTTGAAAATGGCCATACCATTAGTCCCATCTCTTGATTTGGTTAGTTTCACATCTGGTATTGTCTGTTCATCTCTACCTGGTATGAACTGAATTGATGGTTTGACCATCTGTATGGTAAGTGTGGATGTGCGAGAATTTTTAAATGTACCAGGAATTCGCCTCGAAATCGGTACGCTCAATGCTTGGCCATTGAATGCAGAGCGCGAACTGTGACAAACGACTCCTGACGTCACCCCTGTGTACAAATAAGCAAAGATGYATCAAATACAAATAATACTAGACGTTATACTACAAGAAAGTTGAGTTCTACCTATTCTTTTCTTAAACATCCCAGGTAAGCCATCTCTACCTTATTAGCTAGTTTTTAGCAAACATGACTAGCTTAACTGCTAGTTCATCAATGAACAACTAGATCTTAATCGACTTATAGTATATTGGCCAACAACTACCTTGTCAACTAAACCATTTTATTTTTATGCGTTGTCATTTTCATCTTCATTTCACAATCTAAACCAAACAGATTTCATGATATTATATATTTACAAAAACATAATTTATATGATGAGAAGTAAAATAGACAATTACAGACATTCAGTCATTTATTGTTTAAAAAACAATCTTCTTTCAAACTATAGCACACCTCTTATCAATCAGACATGAAATAAGATTTCTGATTTTAGCATATCTTGAAAAACAAAGAGCACCTAACATGTGATCACCATAATCAGACAGACAGATGCAGCACTGCCTCTAACTTATTTTGGGATTTTGGATCAATACTAACACACACACACACAACATAGATATCTGGCATGCAAATGATGTAATAAACGAAATGTGTGATCAGGAAGAACTAGAGACAAAAGAAAAACAAAGAAACAAACGGTATTTCGTCTTGAACATATGCAACATCAACCGATAGTGAAAATTTGATACTAAATCTGGAAACTAGCAGAAACACAATCAAGGATTCAAAGTTCCCACTAGAAACTAGCAAATTAGCATCCGATTCTCTTTCATTTGGATAAACTAACCACTTAAAACTCAATCTAGGTTTTTAAGCATGCCAGATGAAGAATAATACAAAATGCACATTTCACAACATCATCAAACCGTAGATATACATATTAGTCATAACCTAGTTCAATAATTTCCCCAAAATCAAAGCATTACGAAGACGATAGAACTAAATTGAAGCCACCAAAGGCAAGTACCTGGAAGAAACCTAGGTTTCTGACAACAATGAGAGACTGGTGAAGAGAACGCCATAGTTTGCAGAGTCGCCATTGTAGCAGATACCAGAGAACCAGAGATGGTTTTATGGTACTGCAATTGTGGGTGTGTGCAAATGGTGGCCATTCAGTTGGAGGGATAAGGGAATTACTTCTTCCAGAGCAAAAATTGTTAAGTCGAGAGTTGTTGTGCTTTACTAACTTGTACGTAATGCACATAAGATTGTATAATTTTTTAGTTTATATGTAGCGTCATTATTTTGGGCCGTTAACCGATCATAGTTCAATTGGGCTCAAGTGGGTCGGCAAAAGCCCATTGGGCTTTTTACTAATGGACTCTTCGTAAGCGAGTTTGTCCAACGGCACGACTTACGAGACCGGTTCTACATTTTACAGAATTTCAAGATTCTGTTGGGCCCGGTTACAGGAACGGAACCCAGAGATAGTTTTGTATATAAATATTTATAAATTATGATTAGTGGCGGATTCAGGAAATTAACGAGGTAGGGGCATGTTGGATGGGACTTGGAGGAGGGAAACATATGGCCATATGGAACTGGGGGGAAAACCATGTAAGACGAGGGTGAAAATAGAAAATTTAAGCTCGTCAACAAAGGTTTTTGGTTTTTGACTGGGGGTCTTTCCTCCCGGTGCTTAAAGGTTGGATCCGCCCTTGATTATGATACAATTTTTCAAGATTTTTGCTAAGATTTTCAGGTAGGGTTGCATATAGGAATGYTCATGGGTTGGGTTGATCGGGTTGAAAACATTTGAACAATCCAACCCAATGTTTGTGGTTTGAAAAATCTTAACCCAACTCGAACCAAAGTGCAATCCAACCCAACCTGTATGGGTTGGTCGGGTTAGTCGGATCGGTCGGGTTGAAACTTTTGTACATCAAAATATTCTTCTAACCGATATATTATTTTTCTACTCATTTTTTTTTCATAATCAACAATTTGATATAACTTATCCATATTTTTTTACGTATATCATATTCAGTTAATTTTCTCAATTTACATATATATGTTCACAGTTACTGAACATATATATGAATGAGTTATATAAAGATGTGAATAGATAGAAAATATGTGTATATGAAGATCATACATGATAGCGTGATTCTCTAATGTACATACTAATATAAATTCAACAATCATATTAAATCCAAGAAATAAAATGAAATCGGGTTCATCGGGTTAGGTTGGGTTCAAATAATAGTAACCGAATATCAACCCAATACCTACGGTTTGACAATTTTACAACTCGATTAGACATCGGGTTGCTTCGGGTTAAGTTATTTCGTATTGGGTTGGGTTGATCGGGTTGACCGGGTTGGTTGGGTTTTTGAACACCCCCAGTTGCATATAGGTTGAGTTGGTCGGGTTGAAACATTTAAACAACCTACCCAATGTTTATGGTTTGAAATATCTTAATCCAACTCAATCCAAGCAAAACTACAAACCACCCAACCCAAACCGTGCTGGTTGGGTTGGTCGAGTTGAAACTTTGATACATCATTTTACAATCTAGTTATGTTTTTGTGTTTAAATGAAGTAAAATCAAAATTGTAACATGTAGAAAAGGCTAACTCAAAAAAAAAAAGTTGAAGGTACGTGCAAATAAAAAAGAAAAATTACGAATGAAATTGTAATATAACTTTCAATATAGCTAGATACAGATTAGTATACTGTCTAATGTACATATGTTAATCAAGGACTTAAAAAATCATATTAAATTTAAGTATAGAAAAACATCGGTTCAAATCACCTTAACCTAATTCCAACCAAATAAATGCGGTTTGGCCTAATCTTGTATCAACTATGTGTCAGGTTACTTCACATTTAAGTTTTTTGGTTTGAGTTGGCAAGAGTGGTCGGATTCATCAGTATTTTGAGCACCCCTATTTTCAAGTTTTTTTTTTTATAATGTTTTTAAAGATTTTATCTACTTAAATGTATTATTTAAAATTTCAATACTAAAATTCAAGAATTGTAATTATAAAAACATGTATAATATTTTGTGTGAAAAGATTTTAAATAATGTAGCCGGGCGAATGATCGGGTGAGAAAGGAAGTTATGGTAAGAAGAGATTTTAACTCTTGATCATTTTTGATCTCATGTTCACCTATGAATTGTGTTATAGAAGAGAATTGATGTAGTGCATCTTAATGCATCTCATTAGTGTTGACATTCTATTATGATTGATCCAAGAGTGGAGATCTCTTCTTACGCTTTTCACCATAACTTCTATTTTCATCGGAACCCAACCTTATATAGCCATAAGTTCATTTGAGAAGTGATTCTAACTTTTCATCTGGTCAAGATATACGGCTTTTATTGTGAAACATCGGATAATTCCTCGCATGGTATACAGAATATAGAGGAGTAGTTATGTAACTTTTACAAATAGATGACATAACAAGTGCATATGTGAACTCGTATGATTCATATATGAACTATATGTTCATATGTGAACCCGTGTAATTCACTTATGAACTATTTATCTTATTCACATATGAACCCKTGTGATTCATATAWGAACTAATTAACTGATTCACATATGAACCCGTGTGATTCACGTACGAACTAATTCAYGATGTAATTTATATATAATAATAAGATATTTTAGTTTTCATTAACTGATAATAATCTTTTATATTTCATTACTTTTTTGTATTATCAATTTAGTTTTCACTTGTTTATTTTCTCACATATATATTATTTACCAGTAACGTATAGAAAAACATACATTTAATAAAGTATATTTGACTATTTTAAATAATAAAAACATCACACGAGAAAACAAAATATATTAAATATAAAAAAAATTGTAATTAAAGCATCACCTAGAGACATCAAAGTTTTTTTTCACACAATGAAATAATATAATATCGTTAAAAATGAAACAAAATTAGTGTTATTTGACAAYGTGAAAACAAAACAAAGTAAAGTGTTCTTTCATATTTTGAAACAACATAATGCCGCTAATGTTAAACAATAAATTRTTGTTTCATAAGGTGAAACAATGTAGTGTTGTTTCATAATATGAAAACAAAACAAAAGTTGACGTGAAATGGGGTGTGAAACACTCAAGTGTTGATTCATTATTGTGAAACAACACAATGTTGCTGATGTAAAACAATGTAGTGTTGTTTCATCATGTGAAGAAAAAAAATTGACGTGAAATGTGATGTAAAATACCAAAGTGTTGTTTCACAAGGTGAAACTTGTGAAACGACATACGAGTTAAATCACTTTTATTATTTCTTGTAAAAATTGCGATTATTAAAAAATATAAAATATATAATGATAACTCGTGTCAAATTAAATATAAAGAAAGCGTTTGTTTTTATAAAAAAATTTTATTTAGAAGTTTATTATAATTAATATATTTTTGATCTAAAATATTATTGTAATTAATATAATTTTGGTAGCTGTCATTGTTGAATTTTTGTTGACTATGGATTGGATTTCAATGCTTAGATAGTCATTTCAATTTTTCATTTATCAAATAATTAGTTTTAAATTTTAAAAATATCACAAAAATATTATTGTCTTCTATAACCATAGATTAAATTCAATTAATAACTAAGATTGATATTCAA